ATACTACGTACTCCCCCATTCCTGAAAATTCTTCTCACTAACCCTTTTGGGACATCCCAAAATATTCTCCCCGTTTCCCTTTTTGAGAAGTTTTTTATGACTTCATTTACTTTTTTCTTACTCAATCACAACCATTCATTTCCACTTTATTCTCACTTTCTTAAATTCAGATCCAAATAAAATCGGGAAGAATTTTGCGGGTCACAGAGAAGTATTATTTATTGATATGAATATTTTTGGTATGAATGATATTATGAATTGTGTGATTGTCAAAACTTGCTTCTATGAAATGGTTAATGGTGTAAGAAGTGATACATTAAAGTCTTAAATGTGCTGTAGATGTTTCAAATACATGCGATTAATTTATGTGTAAAATGTAATACTGTTAATTCATTAATGCAAATTTGAGATAAATATTTTAGTTATAAAAATAGCAAGGGGTTTACTGCACCAAACCCCATGTGATACGGAAATTCGGCACACATTAATCCCCTGTGATTTTAAAAAATGCATCAAACTCCCTTGTGTTTTAATTAATTATGCGCAAGATCCCTTCTATGAACAAATTCAATTGTCAAATAAAAGAAAAATGATAAACATTTTTGTATGATTTAGAGATTTTGACATCTTTACTTGCATATTCAATCAGAATATTAGGAAAAGTGATTTCAAAATCATTAAATTTTTTCATAAAAGGGGTTTTGTGAATGATTAATTAAAACACAAGGGGGTATGATGCATTTTTCAAATCAGAGAGACTGATGCGCTGAATTTTTATAGGGGAAATGGAAACTAATAATCAAACATTTTAGTGGTCTTCTTACAAATAGTCTCACCTTTTCATTATCATGAATAATCCAACCTTTGCGCCGTACCCCATATTCATTCACTGGTCCCTGACCGATTTATGATCTATTATTCCAAATTATTTTCTTATCTTTGCAAAACATTATGTGATCATAAGGTGGGAATTATGGTATAATGTTTTCCAAAGATAAGAAAATAATTTGGAGTAAAAGGTCATAAATCGGTCAGGGACCAGTGAATGAAGATGGGGTACGGTGCAAAGGTTGTATTATTCATGAATAATGAAAAGGTGAGACTATTGTAAGAAGACCACTAAAAGGTTGGATTATTAATTTTCATTTTCCCATTTCTATATCACGAAGGAGTTTGGTGCATTAACCCCAAATACCAAGTATATTTGTATATGTGGGAATGTGTAAGTTTAATATCTTTATGCGTAAATAAAAGAACATAACTTAACAAATCTAGTTGGAGAAACATAAAGCACAAATGCTCGAACAAGAATTCCAAGAAATAGTAAATATATAATTTTATTGCATAAAACATTGAAGGTGGTCATGAAATAGTAATTAAGAAAACACAATCTATTGAAGCACCACTTGGAAATATTTTTTTCGTAATGGAGAACACAAAAAAGGGAGAGATAGATGAGAAATATTATTTATAGATGAACAAAAGTTAAGTTATAGATTGGAGAAGAATGTAAAAATATAGATAGATTCACAAAACAAAAAAAGAACGCACCGGGCCGGGATTGGGTGGGACTAGGGTTTAGGGATGAAGGCCCGATACCGGCCCGGATTTGAACCGGGACTGGGCCGGGCTGGGTCCGGGCCGAGTTTTTTTAAAAAAAATAGCCTTTTTTAATTTATTCCTACCCCCTCCACCCCCAAACCCCTTCAAAACACCCAGCCCAATCCACCTAGCAGCAGCCCAATGCCAAAAAAGTAAAAAAAAAACAAAAAAAAAATTGGCCCATGCTGGTCCACTAAAAACATGACCCGTAGCTCACTCCCCTATCCCCGGTTCAGGCCTCCAATCGCGATCCCGGTCAGTCGGGCCGGTACAGCACAGTAACAAGTCGGGTCGGGTACTGGGAAGGGCCGAACCGGCCCAGTCCATCCCTATTCATAGGTTACTAAACGATGCTTATTAAGACTCGCGTTAATATGACACAAAATAAACAGTGTTGTAAACTCATGTTTACTTCAAAGGATTTAAAACACCGTTTAACATTAAAATGTCCAAAATAACCCTATACATTGAACCGGGACTGGGCCAGGCCGGGTCTCGATTCAGTTCGGACCGGGTTTTTTTTTTGAAAAGTTAGGCCTGAAAACCGGTCCGCGTTGCTCCGGTCCCGGTTAGGGCCGGTTCACCATATATTTTTTTTGATTTGCTAATTTCTTCCTACCCCCACCCCTCCCCCACACCCCAAACCCCTCCAAAACACCCAGCCGAACCCATTTCCCTTTTAAAAAATGTGAAAAACAAAAAAAATGGCTCAAACAGAGCCCAAACCGGCCAGGCCGGTTCATCAAAATCAAGGCCCAAGAACCGCACCGCTACAGTGCCGGGCCGGAACAATGCCGGTTCAGACCGGTTCCGGTTCAATTAAAACGGGCCTGAGTCCATCCCTACCTATACATATATAGACACAAACATTCATGTAAACAAGTATATAATGTTTGATCCCACGATATAGGTTCTCATTATGGATGGACTTAGGGTTGGATTCGGTTCGAGCCACCCGGCCCGTGTCCCGGCCCGGCCCGGTACTGTGCGGGCTCGGGATCGGCCCGGTCGGGCGGTCCGGGACCGGGTATGGACCCGAACCGGTGGGAAGGGGCGGGGCGGGCTCGGTGCTGGATTATTGTGACCCGGCCCGGCCGGGTCGGGCCCGGGTCCGGTCTAATTTTAAGATTTTTTTTTTTTGCTTGGGCTACTAGCCGTTGGGGGTGGGGCTGGGGACAACCCAAACGGCTATATAGCCGTTGGGTGGGGTAAAGGGGGGGTCCGGGGGGGTTGGCTGGTGGGGGGGGTGGTGGTGGGGGGGGGGGGTGGAGGGTAAAAAAACCTATAAATACTCCTAATCTTAAACATTTTTTCATATCTCTTCTCCAATTCTTCCTAAATCCTATTCTTAACTCTCTACTCTCTAATTCTCTTATTCTCCAATATATTATATTTATTATTTATATATCTACTTTATAGTTTATACTTAAGAAGTTAAGATGGAAAATCAAGATGCCATTATACGGTATAATTTTGATAAGCAGAAGGACCCGAAGACCGGGATGTGGTACACATATTGCAAATGGTGCCAGAAAAAATGTAGCATGGGGGTTTCTGGCGGATTCGGGATGGCAATCAAGCATATGAAGTCATGTGACAAAGCCAAAGGATCGGGAGGTGCGGGAAGTTCCGATTGATTACAATTTTCAAAATGTTTCTCTTAAAGTTTGTTTTAATTTTCAAATGTAGTTCCTATTTCATTTCAAATAAATGCAATTGAAGTTTGTTTTTAATACTCGTATAAAACTATAAACTATAAAATACTACCTCCGTTCCTATTAAAACTTCCAAATAGGTTTGGCACAGAGTTTAAGATAGTGGGTATTGAGTGGTGGAGAGTTGTGCAGAGGAGAGAGAAATGTGTAAGAAATGTTTTGAACCACAAATTCTTTACTAAAAAGGGAAAGTGGAAGTTTTAATTGGAACGGACGAAAAAAGAAAGTTGGAAGTTTATTTAGGAACGGAGGGAGTATAAATTATAAAAAAAAATTTAACCGGCCCGGCCCGAACCGGACCTGACCCGTGACCCGGGCGGGTGGCCCGGCCTGGACCGGACCCGTCCAACCCTCGGGCCGGTCCCGGGCCCATGTCATACTACCCGGTGGTCCGACCGGGCCTAGGCCCGGCCCGGGCCCGACCCGGCCCGACCCGGTGGCCCAGCCAGTGACCGGTCCGAGTAGGCCCGACCCGTGGGTTTTCCGGTCCGGGCTCGGGTCACCCAAAACAAGGCCCGACCCGGCCGGGTCCGGGCCCGGTTCAGGACAAAACTATTTTTTTTCAATTTTTTTTGAATTTTCGAGTTGGGCTGGGTATTTTGGGCCATTTGGGGTGGTTTGGGGGGTTGGGGTGTTAGGGGGGTTAATTAGGAAGTGGGTAAAAAGAAATTGATAATGGGCCCGGCCCGGACCCGGTGGTTACCCGGGCCGGTCCCGGGTCCACCACTTCTGAACCGCCGGCCCGCCCGGGCCTAGGCCCGACCTAGACCCGGCCCGGACCCGAGTCCAAGGCTAGTTCTCATATTGTTGCATAAGGGCAATTTGGGACTAAAGCATTATAATGTTTGATCCCGCAATATAGGTTTTCATAAGTAATCTTCTGTATACATTTATCAATTATCAATATATACATTTTCTTTCAATTCCTTTCCTGAACCCAGATATCATTATCTCTCCCACTTCTAATTTCTGCCATCTGCAGTATACCATACGGTCCATACAATTTTATTCACCATTTTACCTTGTTTTATAGTACGAACAAGGCACTAGCCAAGACGTTATAATTTCTAAAAGGAAACTTAGCTAGGGATGGATTCGGTTCGGGCCACCCAGCCCGAGACCCGGCCCGGCCCATGACCCAGCCCGGCCCGCTACTGTGCGGGCCCGGGACCGGCCCGGTCTGGCAGTCCGGGACCAGGTGTAGACCCGAACCGGTGGGGGAAGCAGTGGCGGGCTCAGTTCCTGCAAAAGGTGACCCGGCCCGGCCAAGTCAGGCCCGGGTCACAACGACTCTTTTTAAAAAAAATTGGGCCAAAAATGACCGTTGGGGTGGACTGGGGACAACCAAAACGACTATATAACCGTTGGGTGGACTGCAGGGGGGTCCGGGTGGTTTGGGGGTGGGGGTAGGGGTGTGGAGGATGGAGTAAAAAAAACCTATAAATACTCCTAATCTTAAACATTTTTCCATATCTATTGGCCTTCAGAAATATAGAAAATGTTCAGGATCAGTTGCCAACACCTATTTGTTACTTTGTTAGCAACTAGCAGATATGACTTCTATTTGTCAGTGTTATTATTTAGTTTTTTTGCAAGAAAAAAATGAATGAAAACACAGACCTAATCAACTTGTTTCAAACGGATCAGGTTAAGTTCAACACCAACAACAACAACAACATCCAAGCCTTAGTCTCAAAAGATATTGGGATCGGCTAACATGAATCGATATATGATATCACCACGAAAAGGAAAAGAGAAAATAAATATAAAAAAGATAAGCTATTATAAAAAGATAATATAAAAAGAGATGAATATACATAAAAATGATAAAATAAAAAGGATACAAATAATGCTTAAGGTTAAGTTCTAACATCAATTATGGTAATTGATATACCAGATTTACCCCTATCCATTTGAAGAAACTGATTGTTTCTTAAAAGTGAAGGATGGCCCAACCTAGACCGACACATGCCTGATGCCCACCCATGGTAACTGGGACTTTATGTGGTTAGCGAGTGACTCAGTCGCGGAAAGGTACAAAAGTTCCTTGTAACACAAAAAAAGCTAGCATTACATCTCCAAACCAAAGCTTCAAAACGGTTTCTCCTTAACAAAATTTAATAGGTTTAAGGCTAGCATTAAACTTCAATATGAACAGACCTTCAAACCTATCCTTTCCCTCGTAATCCTATATTATTAAACAGGGCCGTCTAATGAATTCGAAGGCCCCGGTTTCAAATGTAAAATCGAGGCCCCACATTAATATAAAAAAGTATCAAAAAATTTCAATCCAAATACATATACTTAAATTAATTGAATACTCATTAAATAATGTAATAAAAAATTTCTAAAATTGAATTAATATTTGATTTAAAGCAACACAACTCATTATTCAAGCAATTTGAGTAAAGAAAACTAAAACGACCAACGAAAAAAATGGTGAATCTATATTTTTCTTCCTCTCTAACTGTGTTTTACTGATAAGTATTAATATATGTAGTATAATATTACGGAGTATTATATAATACTTATAAAATTTTAAAATTTTGGGGCCCCGTAAATTTGGGGGCCCTGTTCCGGATAACCTATTGAACCCCCTAAAAAACGGCCTTGTTATTAAAATGTAGCAAACTGAAAATACAAAAAATGAGAGTGCCTTTCTATTCCCGCCTGTGAGAAATATCATCATCTAACTGGTATCTCACTCACATGTACAATGAATGTGTCACCCGAATCTGCAATGATGTTTTCAGCCTCTCAAGTCAGAGACACTAGCTTCCCATCCACAGAGAATTTGTCACTGCCTTCAAGCTGGATGAAGGACAAAAGGCATGTCAGAGAGAAAAGATATGATAAAATAGCTTACTAATGTTTTGGATTCCGATAACAGGTGTTTAAAGTTTCTTTGCCCGTTTCAGAATATGAGAAGTGGCAAAAACAACTATCCCAAACCATTAAAGCATCGTGATATACATGGTACAAGTGGAAAACGTATATTATGGTTTTTGGAGTAACATGTTCACTAGTCACTCCTCACTTAACTTTGCCGGTCTACCATTCATAGTCAACACATTTCATTTTTGTTCTCCAAATATATAAATTATAATTTAAATTTTGTCAAGGAGGAGTTGAATTTATCATCGATCAAACCTCTTAAACTGTAACACACAAGGTTTAATAGAAAGAAGTGGTAAGCGCTGTTTATAGAACAACATCCAAGCCTTAAAGAGATAATAAGTTTAGTTTATACAACAACCAACAACATCCAAGCCTCAAAAGGTTTTGGGGTCGGCTAACATGGATCTATACATTATACATGATATCGGAGCCAAAGGAAAAGAAAGATAAAAAGATAAGGTGTGATAAGAAAAGGTATAATAAGTTCTATTTATACAACAACAACATCTAAGTCTTAGTCCCAAAAGATTTTGGGGTCAACTAACATGAATCGATACATGATATCTGAGTCAAAGGGAAAAGAAAGATTAACGGATAAGGTATGAACCCTCAAAAAAAAAGATAAGATATGATAAAAAAGATAACAAGAAAAAGGATGAACAAATTTTGGTATCATGTATGTCCAAGCCAGGATAAATAAGAAGGATGATGTAGTAGGCACGTGACGGTCATCGGTATCACTTAATCACATCACATGACATGAATCGAAATAATAAGTTCTATTTATACAAGTGGGAAAAATATATGATGTGGTGATCTTGCCTTGCGCTTTAAGTGAGCTATAGCATCTTTTTTAGAGAAGTTGTCAAACACCCCTGCTGATTGCTCATCAATAAGAACTTTCAGTTTCTTTAGTTTCAGAGAGTTCCCAGGTGCCTGTAACAAGCCAGATGTCATAGGAAAAGCTTTCACAAGCTATTTTAAAGCCACCATAAATTACCCGTTCATTCACAAAACATTCTAACCCTTGATCTAAGAGGTACCTGTTTAAGGAGGTGCTTACATAACTTCTTTAATTTCAATTTTGGTTCAACATTCTCACAAAACCTGGAAAAGTCAATATTTTTTTCTTTCATTGGCACATTTGAATCAGAGGAATTTTCCACATCACTGTCATCAAAAGATGTCTTTTTCCCCTGAAAGAAGCAACCGGCAACCTTCTTTGGCTTGTCCTTGATGCCCAAACCTTGTTTCCCAGAAGTAGATTTATTCTGACATTAGGCGAGTCAAAGGAAAATGTCATCTATCTGATTCTCAGTTTTAGGGAAATATATCTACTGCGGTTACATACTCCAAAACCCTAATAGAGTTAAGTAACAAAATGTTTATACCACAACTACTTGAATCTAAAAATAGAACTACATACAGAGTGAATCAGCTATGCTATAATGATTCATCAATGATTTGATACCGCATTTCTGAAATGCATCCAAGAATAACTCTTCAGCTCAAATAGCTTATTGACATGTTCTGATTTGTAGAGTTTCTATTACACATGATTTGTGCATTGAAAAAGGCCCCAAGTCCTCAACCCCAAGAAATAAGGGACCCCTTGTAACAAAACTAGAGGTAGGATAACAATCAAGGATGTGAATTGGGTATATGTCTATATGAGCTAGTGGTTAAAGCTTTAATGTATTAAATAAGCAGTTAAGCACCCTTTGTTCAAGTGCAAATATGCAGAGAAAGAGCATTTGATGTTTTAGGCCAAATGACAACTTTATATTGTTCGGCACCCCCCCCCCCCCCCCCCCCCATAAACACAATAATCAGCACATACTTCCCGGGAATGAAACTATGACATCATTATTTGAGAGTGCCTGCTAGACTTTTTATGCCTGCCAGTCTAGTATTGTGGAGTCTGATCCTCCAAAGATATTTTAGGCCTACTATTCACATTTCAGAGGATAGGAAAAACAAAGATAAGACACATACTTGAGCACGATTATAGAGATTTTCTTGATCATCCTCGCAGAATGTAGTTCTTTTACTGAAATCTAGCTCATCTTCAGCAGATGGCTTCTTTTGCCTACTCTGTGCCCCTAGAAAACCGCCCATGACAAAACCAAATTTATGACCCCACCAATCTGGTGTGACCACTTGATCTGCATTACCAATATAGAAACGTAATTACTAATTACATAGTGATAAGTCCGTATTTCAAAGCGCATTTAATGTGTGCTGAGATTGGTTTTTTGTCAGTTTCTCTAGCTTAAATGTGTCACTAGGCTCATATTCTCATAATTAGCTCAAGTAATGGTTTACCGGGTTTTGGTGTATGTTTGGTATTTTTAGAGTCATACTCAGGGAATTAAACCGGGCACCGGCGTTTGAGAAGTAATCAAGAGAGTTGAGACGCATTTGAGAGTTGTTTAGGAGCGTAAGAGCGTTGGAGGTCAACGTGATGTTAAAGAAGAAGTTTTGAAAACAAAGGAGCTCTAGGATTGGCTGCGGGATCGAAAGATGACTTGAAGAGCAAGAAAACCGAAGAAAACGAAGAAGAAATGCCACGCACGCCGTGCGTGCGTGACAATAGCTGTTTTATAAAGTTTGAAGTTACGCACGAATGCAAGATGTACGCGCAGGGACGCACACTGCGGGAGGCCAAATTGCGAAGAACCCACGGGAGGCCGCGCACGCCGTGCGTGGCAGGGACGCACGCCGTGCACGGCATTATTTCGCGACTTGTGTTCCGGACGCAAGGACACCATGCATGCTGTGTGTGTCCCCTGCTGTCCTATTTCGGTCTGGATTTTACCGTTTTCTATTTATAGAGCCTGTAAAACCCTGTTTTCGGTTTACGGAGCTTATAGAAAGGCCTAGGATGAAATTTTTAGTAGATTTTGCTTTGTTAATCAAGACCCTGGGATTTCTTGTCAATTTTATTGATTCCTCAATTATGAATTGTGAGTAGTTTTAATTATGATCTAGGGTTAATTTCTTAATGGTTTAATTGCATGATCTTTATTTAATTTGTGTTTGAATAATTTAATTGATATCTTTTGTAACCTAGAACTGCAGCTAGGATTATAATTGCACATAGAGTAATTTATGATATTGTGGTATTATGATTTTGTGATTAACCTAATAGCGAAGGCAATGGCTAGTGTGAGGGGAGGGCTACTGCAAGTGTGATGGAGAGCTGCACAGACTTGCAGCTAGGGCTTTATGCCACAAGAAGAGTGGCAGTAGCTAGTATCCAGCACTGGCGACGCTGTGACAAGTATGAGCATCACATGATCAACAGTTTTTGTGTGAGTCATATCTTCAGTCCTCAATCATGATTTAGCATCTGTTTCTAATTCCTATTTCTCAACTTGTATTTATTTTGAAGCACAATATTCCCTAATCTGTTAGCAGTTAGAATGAGGAGCATTTTGAGGCATTGTTTGTAATTGCGCAATGCAATTGCGCCTCATGGCGTGCCTCAGCTAATTCCTAGACTATGGCATAAAAGGCATTGCATATGGCGTTGGGAGTGTGGCGTACGCAATATTGCACTGAGGCGTACGCAATATTGCATACGCAATAAGACGCTCTGAGGTGTACGCAATAGGAGAAGGTCAGGGTGTAATGGTATTATTTGGGCCTACCCGGCCTACTTTTAAATTTTTATGATTGATGTTATGATCCCTATTTCAAACCACTAGTTATTGCTTGGATTTTTTCAGTCGATCAATCTAATTAATTTAAATTCTCATATCTTAGATTTTTTTTTTGTAAACGATTCAGAAAGTTTTGGTATTCTATGGTACTTTGAAGTTTGAACATATTACTTTGCTAGGACTATGGCCTCTTATGGTTTGTTTTAATATAACATTTGAGGACGTTTGACACATATGTTTATTTTTTATTATGTTTGTGTGTGTGTGTGTGTATTACGCCTCAGGCATACGCCTCGTTGCGCAATGAGGCTTACGCAATATGCAATATTTAAAAAAACGCCACAACTACGCAATACGCAATTTCGAACCTTGTTTTGAGGAGCCAAATTAGTAGTCAGGTTCTAAGAGTATGCCTTTCTAGAGGTTACCTTCAGCACTAGGAACCTGGATTTGAGATGCTTGGACTACCTCTACGACATTCTGAACCTCAACTGCTGGTGAAGGCTTTGCCTTCTTTACCTGCAAAAATTATGAATAAAGCTTAGAGAAATGGACATACGAATATAACAAGGATTTCAAAAACAATTATGTTACAATAAGCACAGCATCTGAAGAAAAGTTTAAGAATTAAACAGGGAAGGAAACATAGATAATGAGACTGACAAGAATTCCTTCAAGATCATGAGAAGAGTACAAATGGACATGCTTGCCTCTTTCTCTTTTCTTATATCTGGCATACAATGAATAATAAGCTATTAGCAGTAACTCAAGGAACTTTATCTAAAGGAGCTTCCAGACACTAAAAACCATATTGTAATCACAGTTACCTTCCCTGTGGACGTGTGACTTTAGCAACTGTTTCTTTGCTGTTTTGGGAATTCTCTGTCTCTTCATACACAGGCATTTCATCATTACCACTAACTGTTAGAAGGAAACAGAGTTAGCCCAAGAATAATTGCTCTACAATTTGAACTTAAACATAAATGAAAATATTCTATTTCAATTTTGGTGTACCTTCATTCTTCTTCATCTCAGTTACTTGCTGCCAAATAGTTCATAACACGTTAATGCATAAAACAAATTAATTGCATAGGAATACTCGGGATTGATTTGAATGATTGAAGTCACAAATGCCATGATACCACTTTCAGCCTTTTGAGGATGTTATCAAATTGAGTTGTATCAAATGCCCAGTTGTTAGGCTGTTCTGTTCCAATACCTGGTATATGTATAAAAAATGTAAGCGAAATGAACTCATAATAGAATCCATATCAAGGTTACATTGGCAGGAGCAGTGTACTTTTAGTACATTAGGGTAAAAGAGCATAAAGAAGGGCATGAAAAAGAACCTGCAGTATCTTGTTTGTTCTTAACCCTGACATATCCTTTAATACCTTGTTTTTCCTTTCCTAGACCTTCTCCTTCTTCCCAGCCCTGTGATAAGCATACGGAAATATTAGACATACTTGGTATGCTGTATGCCACCATATTAACTAAGTTGAAAGGTACGCCCAATCACGGACAATCATGAATATATCTGGAGAAAAATAGAATCTTTGAAAATAAAATAAGATGTCATATCAATCTCGGTTATCTACTCGGCGAGTACTCGCTCAGTCCGTATAGCTACTTGACTTGGTCCGTATATGATTTCTAAGTTACTCGCCAAGTACTCGGTGAGTTTCTCAACTCGGGGAAGTTCTCAAATCGGCAAGTTAATCGGCCAGGCATTATTTTTTGTCCAATCTGAACAGTTTTAACTAACGAGGGATAATACGGATTTTCTAAATAAGGAGTGGGTAGTTTAAAAATTGGAAATAAACCTTAAAAAGTCTAGGATTAAAAGTATTTCATACATCTGCTCATCCAGCAGTGGTTCCTCCTCATCTCTACGTAAGTTATTCTCCTCCATGGCTCTATCTTCTTTCTCGTTTCTTCTTCAATAGTTTTTTCATATCTAAGAATTATAAGAATAATATATTACTATAATTTTGGATATTTATATTTCTAAAATTATAATTAATATATGATCGAGTAGTCACCGAGTAATCCCGAGTACTAGGTCCTACTCTCTACTCGCCCATGACTGAGTTGCTACCGAGTAGCAATTTAACCACTTAGATATCAATACAAATATTCAGAGAGAAATTCATCATTTCATGAAATGCATGTAACAAATTATTTACTGCAAGTATCTTAAGAGATAGTTTTTATTCTTTCGATGACATAAAATATTTGGGGGAGTTCTGTCTTTCCTATATCCTATACGCCGTATAGGCTACCTATAAGCTACTCAAATGCATTGTTTAGTTGAGCATACATACTAAAAGGAGTCAAGGCAATGATTCACTACTGCTATAAGGTCAATTCTAAAAGGGCCAATAAAAATGAAAGCCAACAGAGACTTTAGTTAAAGAAAATGTTGATCAAATAACTTGTACCCAAACAACGGAAATTTCTTCAACACCATTTGAAAAAAAAAACTTTCTTTAAGCACAAAAAACGCAAACGATTAAAAATATAATTGAAACGATTCCAACCGAAAGGGAAATATCAGATTACACTTATAAACCATAAAAAACTAATGCTTATCTATGATTACATATACTTATTGATGCATCATGTGCTGCGAGTGTGTGTGTGTGACAGAAAAAGCGAGAGCACCATTTGTTTCATCAGACGGAAAGCGGCGGAATCTCTAGCAACGCCGACATAGTTAACGGGAGCTTCAGGAGCAGCCATGGTTGAAGACAATCCAGAAATCTAAAAATCGGAAGCTAACACCTCCCCCTTCCTCTCTCCACTTCACAAAAAAAATTAGAAGCAGCAGAAGAAGAAGAGGAGGTTAGGAGAGAGATTTTAGGTGGAACACAACTGAAGCAGACCCTAAAACCTTCGTTGATCGAAGTAAGATGTCGACCCGAATCAGCCGATCAGTTTCGCATGGATCAACGACTCTATTAGATGTTGGGTTATAGGCCCAATGCGTTGGGCTTTTTACCAGTTTAGCCACTCGTTTGGGCTTTTGCAAATTTATGCCACGTGTCATTGGAGAGTTCCCAATCCAGCGACTCCGGTAAAATACACGGTATAGCCGGTTGTACCGTGCACACAGTACAGTCGGATTTTTCTTGGTTGTTGCGCTTCTTCAACCTGGCCTTCGCACCTCTTTTTACGATCCGACTTCGTACAAAGCTTCACACCAGACTTCTCCCAGTTAGCTTGCTTCTTCGATCTGATTTCGCACCAAGCTAACTGTCGTCGACGTTCACCCCCTTCTCCTTCAGCTCGCTGCTGGTCAACACCTCTCACCACTCACCTCTTCTCCTCGGCACAAACGCAACGGCTCCGGCTCCATCGTAGTTACCTCTCCTTTGTCTTTCTTTCCATTCTTTTTCTCTTTTTCTCACGCCGTTTTATTGTTTGAGCTTGTGATTTTCGGAGACAAAGAGAGTCTACTTGGTTGTTGAGGAATTTTTACTCCTACTGATCTCAAACGAGTTTTATATTAAACTCAAATGAATATACACGTAAAAGAAATGAACATACACAAATTAATATTGAGCGCATTCGAAATGGGTTTTATGTTAAACTCAAATGAGTATAACGTCCAAAATGAATTAGCATACACAAATGAGCTTTTGAATTTTTTCATGCTCATTTCGTAAGTTATGTATGCTCATTTGGTACTCCTTTATGTTCATTTTAAAATGTTTCACATTTCAAACGTATCATACTACATTATATTCACATATTGAAATTAATTGAATTTGCTTGTAAACATAATTAAAGAATTTTTTATAAACGAAAAAATAATAAAAAGAAACTGAATCAAAAGATATGAAGCAGAGATCACCGGTGCTCATTGAAACACTCCTAACACTCCTAATGCTCGTTTAATAGAAATCATGATTTTCATTAAAATTATAAGGGAGAACTATCAAATAAGCCCTTTTATAGGAGGCTCTGTCCGGCCATTGGCATTTGGGGCGGTTTTCGTTTGAATTTTTTGCTGAAATTTTTTGAGCATCTTCTTCATTTTGTCTAGTTTACTCATACCAAATTTCAGCTAAAAATTCAATCCGGGAGCCAGTCAAATGATTTTTTGAAGATAACTGCGCAGTTAGGCAGCGCAGTATACTTCAGAAAATCATTTGACTACCTCCTCGATTGAATTTTTAGCTGCAATTTGGTATGGATAAATTAGACTTAATAAATAAGTTGATCAAAAAATTTAATCAAAAAATGCCACCGAAAATCACCCTAAATAAAGACGTCCGGATAAAGCATCATGTAAAAGGACTTATTTACATTTTTTATGAAAGTTCTAGATTCGAGGGCTTTTTTGAAACTTCTCCCAAATTAGAAAATTACAAAAGCTACTCCTGCCCGAACCAAAAAGAAGAATTTCAAAGGCTTTTCTCGCAGACAGAGCTCCCAGAAGTATGGCCATGGCTACGTCGTCGTTTCATTGCGCGGCTATGCTATCCAGAAACTCTGTAACGCCACGACAGGGCTCTTTCAGCGTCAGATCGAGCATCGCTTGGCAATCAATTTCATTTTATCCGCGCGTACAGTCGCTCCCGGTGTCTCAGCCCATCTCACCTGCGGTGATCGTCTCCGCAACCGGCGGCACCGTGGAATCTGAACCTCGAACTAGCGCCGCTACTGCTTCAAAGACGCTACCCTTCAGAGTAGGGCACGGTTTCGATCTACACCGTTTGGAGCCAGGATATCCGCTTATTATTGGCGGGATAAACATTCCTCACGATAGAGGCTGTGAAGCTCACTCCGACGGTGAGTATTCTCAACATATCCTCCCGGATTTGTGTTTTTGCGGTTGAAGTATCTTATTTCACCTGATTTTTTGGTAGGTGATGTGCTACTTCATTGTGTTGTTGATGCAATTTTGGGTGCTTTGGGGCTTCCGGACATTGGCCAGATTTTTCCGGACACAGACCCTAAGTGGAAAGGCGCGCCATCATCTCTTTTCATCAAAGAAGCTGTAAAATTTTAATTTGATTATAATTCACTCTATATGCTATGATTATTTATTGCTGCTTTGGATTTAGGACAGTCAATGGATATGATCACTTCTAAATCACATAGAACATTTTTGTTATGGCATCCCCCCTAAACTAATATAAAACCTAGGTCTCCTCATCTTGGCCTTGTAACATGCAGCCCAAGTCTTAATAAGGTATTAGAGCAAATGCCCTACAAATGAGCCATCTTCTGATTAAGGGCTAGCATTTCAAGATTGGTCTGTTGCAACAACAAAAGATGTTGTGGGCATGTAAATCTACTTCACATCTCTCAAATACAGGGAAAAATGAACATATAAAACCTAGTATATTTCCGATTTTTAGAATGGAAGCTTAAATCTTAATAATTTGTTGTCATTGTAATAATATGATGCCTGATCTAGCATTTCCATGCAACTGGCTTTTTGGCTGTATCAGGTGCGGCTGATGCACGATGCTGGTTATGAACTTGGGAATTTGGACTCCACTTTGATACTGCAAAAACCAAAGGTAAGCCCTCACAAGGAAGCTATTAGATCCAATTTGTGTCAACTGCTTGGGGCAGACCCCTCAGTTGTAAACCTAAAAGCGAAAACCCATGAGAGAGTAGATAGCATTGGGGAAAATAGGAGCATTGCAGCCCATACAGTTGTTCTTTTAATGAAGAAGTAGCATATGATCTTTACATATTCTTGTTTAACCGGAGATTGTTCGCAAATTTACCAAAAAAGTGACGGCAAGGAAGGACCATATGTGAAAAAAATCTACATCCAGACGACCACTGCTTGAAAAATGAAAGTTGATGGCCAAAAATAGGAATGACATCATACTCGTGGAATCCAAAGTGGAAGTAATTCTTTTTTATATGAGTTGTTTTGGTAATGTAGCAATGGAATTCCTTCATAGACAGGATCAGTTTCAATCCATTTCACACAAGGCATAATGGTATTCCCAATATGATCCCTCAAAATACCTCCCAACACGTTGTATAGTTTCATACGCATGGAATTTGTGCTCAAACAGGTGTCCTCTAAAGTTCACTTTGCAACACCTCAACAAAAGCGCTAAAGTTCACTTTGAGCGTTTTTCAGTTGGCACTAAATTTTTGTTTCACTTAGTCCAAACCAGGATAAAGGAGAAGGGTGTTGTGGTAGGTGTGTGATGTCCAACTAGAGAATTGTTTCATCCCTTGGCCACACAATTAAAGATAATTGTATATTAAAGGTTAATATTGCAAAAGATAAGTTTTAATGCTAAGAAGTGAGTTTTTTCCAACAATAATGCTAAATAAAAAATATTTACAAAAACAAGGTCGTGTTAAAAGTATTTATGAAAATAGTATTACATCTCTCGTGTTGCATCTCTCCGATGCCATCAGCGAAAGCTAATTTTGTCGATGATGATTATAATGCTTGCCATGTGATATTTTACAAAAAAGTCTGAATACAAAGTAATTTATTATAAATAGAAAATATCATTGAGAAATACAATTAGTTATTTTTACTACATATATACCTCTTAAGAATATACAATACTAAGTTCTTACTGTTCTCGCATAGTAGAGTATTGTTAGAGAAAGCTAAATTGCGCTCGATGTATTTTAATTTTGTCTCTATGATGTACACTTTGCTATTAGAGTAGTACTATCTTATTATCTTGTAATAAAGTATAATAGATATTAGATGGATTGGGCCACATTGTTTAGGGCCCAAATCCAACATTCATCTCTCTCACTTACCAAGGCTTTAAGTAGCCTAAGGGTAAGCATGCAGTAGGAAAGGCTAACACATAAAACATTGCAATATTATGTCAATCATTTTCGACTCGGCACTAGCAGCTAATAGCGATAGCATAGTAACGATTGTATTCAATACTTCCAAATCTTTCTTGAATCGTTCTTGCTTCGTTTGTTTCTGTTAAATCTGTCCAAGAGCTTGAGCATGCGATCATCTGGGACTCACATTTGATATCAGAGCCTCTTGTGTGACTAATCATAGTGTTACACCATTTTTTGATATTGTATCGAGTTCATCTGTTGTTCGAAAAATTTATGTCAAAACATTCAATGATGATATTCGAATGACTGGATAGTTGTTTATTCATCATCGGATCATTCATTAGTTTCAATACTCATTATTTCATACTTAGCTTTCAAAACTCAGTCTAAAAAAACTTTGTGCTCAACCTCTCTGGATGAAGCAATAACTCATTGATAATGGAATCAATGCAAAGGAAATCAAGCTGCTCTATGACAACACCAATGCTATTGCTATCACCCAGAACTCAGTGCTCCACTCCAGAACCAAGCATGTTGAGCACTTCAAGATCACAAGGATGCTTCGGGAAATAGAAGAACACCTACAACTTAGAAGAGACATTAGGTAATTCGAGCATTCCTTAGGGATTAGAAGACCGTTCTTTGAATCACAAAGATGATCTAAGCTTCAGCGACATCCGATCACAAAGGGGGAGATTCTTAGAGAAAGTTAAATTGTGATCGATGTATTTTAATTTTATCTCTGTGATGTACAGCTATCTATTAGACTAGTACCATCTTATTATCATGTAATAAAGTAGTATAGATATTAGATGGATTGGGCCACATTGTTTACTACCTTAGGCTATTTAGGGGGTGTTTGGAATCGATTCTACTTCTACTTCTTTTTTAAAGAAGAAGTAGAATCAGAATCAGTTTTCAGAAGCTCGTCACCCTCAGCTTCTAAAAAATGATTCTAGGAGTAAATTAGAGCACCAGAATCACTTCTGCACTTTCACCCAAACATTGCAATTTCTGCTTCTGCTCTTTGAAGGAGCAGAATCAGTTTTAAGAATCAGATCCAAACACCCCTTATAGCCTTAGTAGTGTGTGAGGAATGTTGGATTTGGGTCCTAAACAATGTGGCCCAATCCATCTAATATCTATACTACTTTAAAATATCAATTATAGAACTTTGTCCATTATTTAGAACTTTCATTTATACATTGTAGAGATGAAGTTCTCCTTTCTGCGTTATTGTATTTTTCTAAGTAAGTCCACTCATTAATTTCATCAACTATGGGAAAAACTCTGTGTGGCAAAAGGATTAGGGGAAAATAAAACTGAAAGAAAAATAAAACATTCAGAAACATGTTACAAAGAAAAAAACGAATGTTCTGTTTTTCTTTACATTTCCAGAATTTTTTATTTTTCTTGAAATTTTATTTTTCTTTAATCTTTTGATCATATACAATTTTTCCCACAATTGATGGAATTAATATGTGGATTTACTTTAAAAATATGATAATGAATAAAGGAGAAAAATATATTGATGATTGAATTAAGATAACAAGAAGAAAGAAGAAAAAACATTAAAAGAAAGTAACAAGAAGAAAAAAAGGGAGAAGTGAAAATAAAAAAAAATATAACAAAAAGTAGAGTGGGAAAAAGATCATTATAAAAAGAGAATGACTAAGAAGAGAAACATTAAAAGTGAAATGAAATAAAAATATGGAAAGAAAATGACAAAAAATGTATTTGGGAAGGAAATTTTACAAAAAACCTTTCCTAATACAGTGAGAAATAGAATAATAAATACAACAACAACAACAAAAACATCGATACATGGTATCACCATCAAAGGGAAAATAAAGAAAATAAAGACAAAAAGATAATATAACAAGAGATGGATATACATAAAAAAGATAGATAGAATAAAAGGGATAAAAAGAATATTTATATATACACAGATAAATGGATAAGAAAAAGCAAGAAAAAGAAGATGAGGGGGAAAAGAGCATAAGAGATCACTCTACCACACGAATGTCCGTCCTCCAGTTTGCTCTCTCCAATGTCATACTCTCATCCAACCCAAGAAGAAGCATATCACTTATGACTCCTCTAATCCACGTCTGTTTGCGGCCCTTTTCTCCCTCTCTTCCGTGTTTTTTCTCCACATATCTCAACTCGTCTGACAAGCGCATCACTCGGTCATACGCATCACCCTGTTCTGATTCTATGGGATACATCTCTATCTAATTCATCATCCTTCTGAATTGTGGAACCCAAGTAACGAAACATATCGCTAACTAATATCTCCTTACCATCTAGGGTAATTTCGTTATTACCACAAAAAAGGAATAAAAAAAGTGTTTATGGATAAAATAAATAAACAAAAAGATTAGGGAGATAAATTAAAGAAAAATGAAACATGAAACTGTTTTGAGTAGATTTGTGAAAGGTGAGATTATTTATGTAAGTTTTTTAAAAAAATGCAAAAAACCTGGTATAGTAGGTCACCAACCGGTTAGGATCCAATGAAAGAAGATGAGATGTAAAACTGGAATTATTATGAGAAGATTAGTCAAATGTGGGATTATTCTTGTTAATATTTTTCCGAATATTTAAAGAAAGACTCTATTTTTCATTAATTCTCCATTTTTCCGAATATTTAAAGAAAGACTCTATTTTTCATTAATTCTCCATTTGCTAGTTAACAAAGGTCAAAGCAACTTCGCGTATATTTTTTCATTTTTCATATATACTTCCTCCGTCAATTAAAATTTTGGCAATTTTCCTTTTTGGATGTCTCACTAACTTCGCATTTTTTTCGTTTTAAGTAAAGAATTTGTGATTGCAATTAATTTCTCTCCTTTGCACAAATCTCAACCACACAATTTTTACTTTATTAATCCTCGTATAGGTCAAATTTGGCAAAGTTTTGAGGGACGTATGGTGTATATTCACGCTAGATGTCAATTTTCATTGAGAACCCGAGTTATGCCATCAACGCCGGCCCTAGGGGGAGGGCAGCAGGGGTGACCGCCCTAGGTCCCGATAATATAGAAGAGAAAATTAGACCCAAATGTTTTTGTTTATATATAATGTTTGTAGGCTTCTTTTTTATTTATAAATTCAATTAATGAGGCCTAATGTTTAATTTATGTTGATAATTTGAAAATGTGAAAACATAAGTAAAAAGTCTTGATCGGAGTCGCTCAGGCAAGTTTAAAAAATAATATACATCTAATTTTAATTTTTAAGTAGAAATGGTTGTAAGTCATCATGTTTGTTACCGAATCAATAAAGACACGTCTTTTCACATCCTTTTAGCCTTTAAGGCATTTTATTCCTTTTAATTACAGAATTATCAAATTATACTATTCCTTGTGCAGTCCGTGCATCCCAATTCCCAAACCCCATCCCACGATGATCTACTATGTTTAAAAAAATTATAATGATTTCGCTTCACAATAATATTCTGCAACATAGGTTTTTCAGTAGTGTTTTTCCGATACTTGTTACTTTTGCCCAAATATGTAATTTAAATATTAGTATGTAATAAAATGAATTTCATCTTTATTTTATGATTGTTATTTTAAGAAAAAATAATTTATTGTTAGTTTTGGAAATAAGCCCAAAAATTGTATATCGTCATATGCCCAAAAATAGACAGGAGTGACCTTGTATGTAATATGTGTTTGGTTTTACTTGATGAGTACGTAGTATTTCATCAGCGTGTCCGTGTGAATGTGTGATGCCAGAAATACATATGATATGGGGTGGGGAGTATTGGGGACCATGGTCTATGTTCATATAAATGAAACTAGTAATAACAAGTGTTGCCTCATTATTTGACTTTTGCAACCTTCAAGAGATTTTAATGTAGTTTTTGAATATGTAAATTTTAATTATTAAAAATTAAATTAATTTTAAGATTGATTGATCAAAAACATGTTAGACTTTGTAAATCAATTTGAGATGAAATGGATAATACTTATTGACTGAGAATTAATTGAGGATCAAAATGAAAATGAAACACCCATATATATATAAAGTGTGGTCAATCTCATTGAGCAGTTGTGCACACATGATATGTTTTGCCTGAATAAGAAGGTGTACATGTCAAGGAGAGAATAGCCGACACAGCTTTAGGATGCGAAATCAACACGTTGTTTTAGAACCAAATTTTACTCACGCGTCCGCAAGCGGGCAAAAATGCACATCTCATTGTCCCATAAATATTCAAGTGAGGTTCGAAATTGTCCCAAATTCATGTGGGACATATTTTCCTTATCCTCAAATCAGTCCCACCACAATACTAAAACGGGACAAGAAGGATGATTTAACTTTAATATTGGTTAACCAAAAAATGTTGATTTTACAAAATCATTTGAGATAAAGGTAGTGGTATTCATTATCCATATAGGGCTTGAATGATTGAAATTATTAATCTGAGATCTAAAATCCATGAATTTTAATATTTTTTTATTTATAAAAATTAAATATTACTTAATCTTATAAAACTAATAAACTTTTGTGAATAAAATATGCTCAAAAATTAGGAACACAATTAATAAAAAAATAAATAGATCAAAATCTACGATATTTTAGATTTTAGTTTGATACTCCGTATAATTCAATCATTCAGGTCCTATATCGACAAACTTTATCCTTCAAGCCCCTTATTGATGGTGAACTTATCTTTCAGGTCTCTTATTTATAAAATTCATATAATAATAAGTCATATTTATTGGTTTTAATTCATCCTTACTTTATTCACACTTAATTAATATATATCCACTATCCACAATATATATATATAGGAAAATTCTCAGGTCCAGCACCTCCCGGTCTGAACGCCGTCCGAACACCGCCGTTTGGGGCTGTTCCCGGTGGATTTTTTGATGAAATCTTTTGAGCATGTTCCTCATCAAGTCTAGTTTATCCATACCAAATTTCAGCTCAAAATTTGATCGGGAAGACAGTCAAATAATTCGTTGAAGTTAACTGCGCCAAATTATACATAGAAAAACGCAGTCAACTTCAACGAATTATTTGATTGTCTTCCCGATCGAATTTTGGCGCAGTTAAATTCAACGAATTATTTGACTGACTTCCTGAACGAATTTTGAGCTGAAATTTGGTATGGATAAACTAGACTTGATGAGGAACATGCTAAAAAAAATCATCAAAAAATTCCGCCGGAAACCGCCCCAAACGGCGGTGTTCGGGCAGCGTTCGAACATAAAAGTGTTAGACAGGAGAATGACTCTCTCTCTCTCTATATATATATATATGTCTGTGTGTATATATATATATATATATATATATATATATATATATATATATATATTTAGGTTCAAGTGAGAAAATCATCTTAGGAGAGAAAAAAAGAATGAATTACAACCATTAGATTAACATTTTTTTCCAAGCACTCGTATACATACGTAGAAGGCTTTTTTGTCATTTCATATATGCATTAATTAACTTTAAAACCAAGTGCCGGAATGGTTGCCACTACTTTAACCGTTTGGTAGTTAATTAATTATTACTTCCTTTTCTCTTTTTTATTTATCTATCATTTATTTTTCTTTTTTTATGTTTCATATCCTTTAATAGATTAAATGTGCATCACCATGGATATTCTTTGTGACTATCAATTTACATGACGAGATCGTTTGATGAATTTTAACTACTGAAATTATGCACTTTTGAGAACATATTTTAAAAAGCAAATACCATGACTATGTGCAACATGTTCAGGAATCTAAAAAATTATCAAACTATTTATTATTAATAATATGTTTACCAACTTAAAAAATTAATATGTGTAAATTAAAATATAGTGCATAATAAAATGCATAATGTGCATGATGCACTCATTTAATGTTTGCAATGCAAACATATAAAAGTGCACAATTATTGACTTTAATAAAAAATATAAAGTGCACATAACTAAACATTTGAAGTGTATTGGGGTTTTTCTTATGATGCACCATTATAGTGTATAATGCGCAACTTAATAAAGTGCATATGATTAAACTAAAGGTTTGTCCACTTAATAAATAAAATTTTATACACAATATGAAGTTTATTTTTTATTGCACCCGTAAGTGCACAACAATTTAAATAAAAGTCCAATTGCTTGACAAAGAATTACATGTTCATATGTATTGCACTTGTATGTACGTATTTTGC